TTTTTGTTCTTATCGGTTTCTCCTCCCACTGTTTTCCTCCTGCATTTCTTTCTTTCTTTCTTTCTTTCTTTCTTTCTTTCTTTCTTTCTTTCTTTCTTTCTTTCTTAAACCTTTTCTCCATACTAACATATAGACACTTTTCTCATATCTTGCTACTCTTTCTTCCTCGTCTGTCCCACCTTCTTTCTTTCTTTCTTTCTTTCTTTCTTTCTTTCTTTCTTTCTTTCTTTCTTTCTTAAATCTTTTCTCCATACTAACATTTAGACACTTTTCTCATATCTTGCTAACCTTTCTGTCTCGTCTGTCCCACCTTCTTTCTTTCTTTCTTTCTTTCTTTCTTTCTTTCTTTCTTTCTTTCTTTCTTTCTTTCTTTCTTAAACCTTTTCTCCATACTAACATATAGACATTTTTCTCATATCTTGCTACTCTTTCTTCCTCGTCTGTCCCACCTTCTTTCTTTCTTTCTTTCTTTCTTTCTTTCTTTCTTTCTTTCTTTCTTTCTTTCTTTCTGTAATCCCTTCTTAATCAATCAGTCGATTTATTAATCTTTTCCATTTTCTTTTTTCTTTTTCCTCTTGTTCATATCTCTTTTCGTCTTGCTTGTCCTTTCTTTCTCCCCCTTTCCTCCCCTTTTCCTTCATATTTTCTCCTTCTCCTCTCTTTATTCGACCCCTGCTACTCTTTATTTTATTTTGTTCTTTTTCTCTTATTTCTTTCTCTGTCTTCCTCTATTTTTTCGTCATTTATCTTCGTTCTCTTTCCCCTATTTTCCTCACTCTCTCACTTACTCCGTTTTCGTTCTTTCTTTTTTTCTTCTTTTCTTTCAATCTCCTTTTCTTCTCTCTATCTCCCCATTCTTTTCCTTTCTCTTCCTCTCTTTGTCTCTCTTTCTCTCTCGTTACTGTTTCTCCTTTCCCATTTCCCTTACTTATTTCTTTTTTCTTTCTTTCCCTTTGGGCCTTTCTCTTTCCTCTCTTTCTCTTTCTCTTCATCTCGCATCCTCTCTCCCCCCCTTCTTCTACTCTTTTTTTCTTTCTTCACCTTTCTCTTGTTTTCCCTTTTTTTTCTTTATCTCTCTCTCTCTCTTTCACTTTCTCTTTCCTTATCTTTATCCTTTTTTTCTCCCTTTCTCTTAATCGACTCTCTTTTTGTCTTCCTCCTTTTCTTTTTATCTTTCTTCCTCTGTCACCTTTCTCTCTCGCTCTTTCTCTTACTCCCTCTCTCTTGCTTTCTGTTAATCCGTTCTCTCTCTCTCTCTCTCTCTCTCTCTCTTTCTTTCTATTTCTGTCGCTTTCTCATATTATCTAAATGACATCACTACCGTTCTTCGCAAGACCACCAAAGATGACGACTCCCTAAATAACAACATACAATAACAGCCGCCCACCACAATTGACATCCACATATTTTGGCAACGTGTCCTTTGATACCATTTCATTAAACAGCACTCCTTAGACTTGTTCTAAATTTGACATCCTGACACGTTCCAACCAGTTTCTTTAAAAAAAATAAAAAAAACCAAAGCGATTCTCTAAGCAAAACGCACGTTTTTATTTTATCTTTTTTTTTATATACGAATTTCTTTATATATTATTTATATGGTGGGGGGGTCTGCTAACAGAGGGAATCCGATTCTGATGAGGATCCTTATTCATATTGTTGATGCTGTTTTCACGCCCGAGACATATAGACATTGCCATCGAAGGATCAAGTGACAGCAAGTGATTTCAGATCGCCATTATCCTTTTCTGTATCCTCAACGATCGCGAAATGATTCCGATTGTAGTGAGTTCAGGTCACGACACGGTCCTGGAGATGACAACATCCGGTAGCAAGGCGTCTGATCGGGAGATTGGAGATTTTTGAGGAGCGTGGAACCACCTCTTAACTGCTGTTACTTCCAGGCCCGATTTGATCCAGGGTGGTAGCACCTGTTAGGGTCCCTGCTATGAGCGAATAGTAAACCCTCCCCAAACAAAAATCAACAGGTCATTTTTATAGCAAAATGGCAATCAGTGTAACGCTAAAAAAGTATAATACATTTTTAAAAAAAAAATGCCAGCAATTTTATGATCTATAAACTATATACAGGGTACGATGTGTAAATTGTCAGTATATTATATTTTTTAATTTTGCGCATGCGCGTTGTTTGATTTTGATTTTGTTGACTGCACAAAATAGTAGACTCAGTTGGACAGAGTTTGTGTGGGAAAGACCACCATGACGTAATTTCCTCCGCCAGAAATTTGGAAACGGCATTCGTGCCGGAAGCTCCAATACAAACATTTCAGATTTCAATATCTGTCCACCTAACTCTCCAAACTTCAAACCCTTTGATTATTATGAATGGGGCGAAGTTGATCGGGAGACCAACAAAATGCCTTGATGATATGAAGGCAAGGATTATTTTTAGGACAATGCAGAGGATTCAGAAAGAGTTGGATGATATCTCCAGACAACATCATGGTGCTTAGAGTAATCACAAGTGATGGTAACGTTTTACCTCCATTCATCTTGCCTCAGACTCAACACAAAGGCCTACATCAAGTGACTTGAGGAGGTAGTGCTGCTCTGGGTCAAGGAGATGACTGCTAGAAGACCCTATGAGGACTCTGCTTCATGCCACACAAGCAGGAGAGCCCAGTCATTCGACTACATCACCCCTTATATCTGTCCACCTAACTCCCCAAACTTCCCCCCCCTTTGATTTTTACGAATGGGGCGCAGTTGACCGAGAGACCAACAAAACCCCTCGTAACATCAAACATGATATGAAGGCAAGGATTATAGCAACATTCACCAACTTAAACAGTAATACCACCCAGAAGAGTTGCAGGCGATTCCGAAGTCGTCTGGAGACAGTGATGGAAACCAAATGCGATTTTCTTGAATAAATTTACTCTTTAGTATTTAAAGATAATTTTGTGTAATTCGGGTAAATATATCTTCTAAAATGAGATGTCTGTGTTATTTTCATTTTTGCGTTATTTAGTCGACGATTTATGCATCGTACCCTGTATTTAAACATGCATTTACCCTGAAAGCATAAAATTATGTACAAAATATTTAGATTTCGGCACTAAATAACCCACAGAGGTTGATATGCCGGTAAGCAAAATCCAACACCACCTCTACCGCTACAACACAGGCGATTGACTGTAGAGGATATACGTAGTGGCAGCATCGTCTTTAAAAGATCATGTTTTCAAAAATAAACTCTCTTCTTTTTTACTTCACCTATGCGTAGGGTCAGAGCCATTACGAGAAGCGCATCTTCGCAGTTTATCAATAAATAATACTTTCCTTTGTTTAATACTAAAGTTCATAGAATACAAGGCTCGAAAGCCACTCAAGGTAGAGGGTTACTTTTAAAACGGTTATGATAAATGGTGTGTGATATCAATGAAAGAAGAGTAGGTAAGGAGTGGACCAGGGAATGGAGAATATGAAGATAAGAATAGTTGACGATTATAGTATTAAGTTTATGTGCTTAGTATAAACATTTACATGGTTTAGTGTAAAATCAATGCAATTTCGCTAACAATTCACTTGTCTCGCTTATATACGGCGTCACTACAATCATTCTATAATCCAAAAAAAAAATCCGAATCCCAAAGATTGTTTGTTTCCAAGTATTTCGGATATGAGACTATTTACCTGTGTAAATTTTCTAATCGTTTCTAGCTTATTCGGAGCTGGAATCAATAAGTCAGTTAGTCATGTATGTGCCATACGTTATACACGCTTAGGCAAATTTTTTTCTCGCAGTAGGTTGCCATTTCTTTCTGCAAGGCTATAGAACCCAGTCTGTCCTGCTATTTACGTATAGCTGGGGGAGGGAGAATAAAAGACTCATACCTTTCCCAAGGGTAATAGTACGTAAGTGAATGCAATGGATTCGAGACTGGAATTCGAACTCGGCTCTCCGATTCCTCAATCCAAGCCGCTATACATTATTCCACTGTACCTCCACGGAATCAACAAACATTACCAATTTACAAGATTGCATTATAGGATATAAGAATCAACAAACATTACCAATTTACAAGATTGCATTATAGGATTTAAGAATCAACAAACATTACCAATTTACAAGATTACATTATAGGATTTAAGAATCAACAAACATTACCAATTTACAAGATTACATTATAGGATTTAAGAATCAACAAACATTACCAATTTACAAGATTGCATTATAGGATTTAAGAATCAACAAACATTACCAATTTACAAGATTACATTATAGGATATAAGAATCAACAAACATTACCAATTTACAAGATTACATTATAGGATTTAAGAATCAACAAACATTACCAATTTACAAGATTGCATTATAGGATTTAAGAATCAACAAACATTACCAATTTACAGGATTACATTATAGGATTTAAGAATCAACAAACATTACCAATTTACAAGATTGCATTATAGGATTTAAGAATCAACAAACATTACCAATTTACAAGATTACATTATAGGATTTAAGAATCAACAAACATTACCAATTTACAAGATTACATTATAGGATTTAAGAATCAACAAACATTACCAATTTACAAGATTACATTATAGGGTTTAAGAATCAACAAACATTACCAATTTACAAGATTACATTATAGGATTTAAGAATCAACAAACATTACCAATTTACAAGATTACATTATAGGATTTAAGAATCAACAAACATTACCAATTTACAGGATTAATTTTATAGGATTTAAGAATCAACAAACATTACCTAATTCCTGTTGTTTCATATTCTGTTCATTAAACCATATATTACTCTATCAAGTGTAGGGTAACTGGCGCGCGCTGAAGTCGACTGCAATAATTGTGGTAACCAGATAATTTCTGGATGACCCCACACCATGCGAGACCTTCACATAATTTTCGGGAATTGTCGGTTGCATATTTCTGCAGTGATAAATAGATTTAAAACTGGGTCTTATGATCTAAATCAGTGCTTCTTTTTCGCGACCCCAGGTATTAACCAACTACACTGAAAATACATCCGTTGTCCCTGCACGAGTCGGAACGACGCCGCACGCGCGTTTTATTACCGCGGCGCCTGCATGGTGCATCACGTTAAATATTGGAAGTTCGTGAAATAACATATAAACGGAAATACATGGGTTTGAACTTAATTTCCACGACATAGTTTAAGAAGAGCTGATCTAATTGAATGGTCAAATTTTTAGTAGTTCACACACACACACACACACACACACACACACACATATATATATATATATATATATATATATATATATATATATATATATATATATATATATATATATATATATGAATAAAACAAGAGGAAAACCTGTTCTTAGTCAACGCGTTTCGATCTCTGAGGGACTTTATCAAGGCAATGTCCCTCACAGGACGAAACGAGTCGGCTAAGAATAGTTTTTCCTCTTGTTTTTTCATTCATTTTGTTCCTTTCCAAATACACTCTACCTGAAAATAATTTATACACACGTACACACACACACAAACATATATATATATATATTTATTATTTGAACTCTGCTGACCAGACTCTTCTCTATAGCTAAATGGTATAGCATGTCAGATCAAATGACGGTTCGTGTAGGACACAGGTTCGATTCCTGTTGGAGAACGCAAATTTTCTCTGAAAATTCTGGAACATTCAGGCCGATAATACAGTTTAATTAAAAAACAGAGCATTTACTTAAATAAATTGAATCTATTAAAATAACGTATAAACAGAAAATATATTAATTATCGGACTTAGTCCATTTTATAATTTTTTTTTTTAGATATATATATATATATATGGTGTCCATAAAGTTCGTGTGCACATTAAAGAAATAGAAATAATTTGTAGAAAGAAGTAAATCTATATTTTTTAAGGTTTTATTGAAATTTTATTTAACTTTCCACATGTCCTCCATCATTAGCAATACAATGGGTAATACGATTTTGCAGTTCACGGAAAACATTTGCCAACTGATTTACAGCAATGCCTGAAATCACATTAGTTATTTTAGCTATACTTATAACTAGGTACATTATACTTTATAACATTTTTTACAGATTATTTCTATCGCAAATACAAATAAAGTTATAATTTTTTTAAAGTGCACACGAACTTTATGGACACCCTGTATATATATGGTAGGATAAAGAACAAATTGAAAAAGCTTATGAATTCAACATCGCTTTTATTTAAGATTCATCAGAAATGAAGTATGGAAGAGAAAAAATATGATATTTTGCGGTTTTTCATTGGTTAATGACACACTTATTTATCTTCTTTGTGAGCGCTTGCGTGTATAATTTTCGTGTGTTTGTGTAACATGATTCTAGTTGGTCAATGCGGGATTTGATTGATAATGTGTGCACGTATGCGCGTGTGTGTGTCTAGTGGGCATTTCATCTGGTAGTGTCCGTATCTTGATTGGGGATTCTTTGGATGAGAATGAAAGAATTTAGGTTACACCGGTTATGTTTGTAGATAGTTTGATTTTAAATTCTTTAAGTAAGAATTTTATAAATGTTGGTGATATAATAAAGTGCGTTTGGCGTGTGCTTATTGATGAGAAAATATTTATGAAGATTCCTTCTAAGTATCTTCTCCATATGTTATGTTCTCTTCTTATTAGGGTAGAATTTATTTATTAAGTCATAATTTCAATTTAATAAATAAAGAAAAGAACATAATTTATTACGGAGAAAATCAGGCATCCTGATAAATATATTCTCATTAATAAAATCGTTCTTAAATTTAAAATTTCTGAAAAACTAACGACATTTTTACCTGTGTTTATAAATACATCTTGCAAAATAAGAATCCTTACGTTTGCCTTGGTAAAGTCCATCAAAGGACGAAACGCGTCAGCTAAGATAAGCTTTTCTTCTGTCTTTATTCATATTGTTCTTTAACAGATATATTTTTAGTTATATGTGAATATTTATGTATTGTATGTATAAGTAAAAATTAGGCCATTAATTATTTTTATCTATCTTATCTCATTTAATATTGTGTAAATAAATTGTCAGGTCACTCTACGAGTGAAGCTTTTATCATTTAACCCAGTAATAAGTGTTATATGGTGACAAAACCGGTTCTTCCACCAGGCTTTTGTGGTGACTAAAGTTAGCAGACACCAGAAGTATTATAAACACAACCTGTCATGGCGGGGAGGAACTTTCTTGTAGGATCAATGGTAACACAATCGGGTAAACTGGGCTCTATTGCTGTGTATGTAATCAGTTCGTGGTGACACGCTATCATTGGGTGGAGAAGTTGAAAGAAAATTTATTGTCCAAATCGTGTAACAGCAAAATTGTGCAATTAAGATGAAGATTTGAACCGTTGCATCCTAGAAATGATTAAAGATATCTTACGGGAATTCTCCAAGGTTTTTTTTTATAAAACTGTTGGACTCTCCTTTAAACAATAAGAATATATTTAGCTCTAAGTTGAAATGATGACCCCTCTTGCTGTTTTGAGCTCTTTATCCAGTTTTTTCTCTCTACTGTCCGCTCTTTTTTAAACATTCACCATTCTCTTGATGATTCTTGAATGGACTTTGAAAATAGAAGCCAGAGTGTGTATATTGGTACTATTACTCAAGGCCTGATCATTTTCCTCTCGCTATTGCTCACTTGGGAAGTTATACTAGTACGCTGACACAAAACGATTTTTAACCTGTTCCCTTTCTAGCGGAACTCAAAGGTTTTTTTTTTCAGTGATTCTTTTTCAGTGTTAAGATGGATAAACGTCTTATATGAAAATACGTGAAAAAGAAACTCAATTAGTGTTATAGTGGATAGTTGGTCGGATACTAAAAGTACCAGCCACCACAACTAGATCTCTGCGTCATTACCTATTATATCAAGTTCCTAACGTTTTGTACGTCGAACCTATTTTAGGACCGACTTAGTGAAATACAAGCCTCCACTGTGAAACTACTCTACAACAATTAGTTTAGTGTTTTTTAGGTATTAAATATTTTGTGGGATGGCAAGTTATGCTTTTGGACAATCTTGCTGTTACACCTATATATATATATATATATATATATATATATATATATATATATATATATATGTGTGTGTGTGTGTGTGTGTGTGTGTGTGTGTGTGTGTGTGTGTGTGTGTGTGTGTGTGTGTGTGTCCCTGTTTTTAGGACATCATTCCTGATTACAGACCATACTTTTCTTTTTCAATTTTTCAAGCCACAGTATACAGATTGCTCTGTGATGTGAAATTTATTAAAAAATTAATTCTTTAAGAATATCTGTCTATATTTCAAAGTCCATTCAAGAACCATCAAGAGAACGGTCCATATGTTTAAAAAAAGTGGGATCAGTAGAGGTAAAACTGTGGATCGAACTCACTATTCAGTCGTAGGTGAGACAAGCTTGCTAACATTCCGTCCAAGTGTTCAATCAATACAGCTTTCGGTTGAAAATTTCAAGGCCACAGGTTCAGCGCTCAAAAGAAAGTCACCCGGAAGCACGAGCGCTCGAACTTCCGGGTAATGGAAAGCTCTAGAAATCGTCTGCAGCAGTGTATGGCGAATAGAGGCCACCATTTGGAGGATATCATTTTTAAAACGAAAGGAATAAAAACGGTAGCCCATTTGTTTAAACAACTTTTTTTTTAATAACAGGTACTTTAGTCATTTTGTCAAACTTTAAAATGTGGGAGGTATTTCCGCCTCACCCTGTATTTACATTATTTTTCGGATTCCTTTTAAAAATATAGTTTTGTAACGAATAAAAATGTCCAGATAAAAATTGGATAATTTTTATTTACTGAGACCTTTGAGCTGCGTTGTCATTATTCGGTGAAATCAATTTTGAAATGATTTTTTTTTTTTGTTTTTACTTATTTTTTTTTTTCATAGGGTAGTAGATACGAATAACTTGCTCGCTATTTCTTTCTTTCTTTCTTTCAATCTTTTTTCTTTCTTTTCTTTTTTAAATTTCTTTCTCTCTTTCTTTCTTTCAATCTTTCACTTTTCTTTTTTCATTTCTTCCTCTTTTTCTACTTTCTTTCTCTCTTTCTTTCTCATATTCTTTCTTTCTCACGTCCTTTCTTTCTGTATCGTCTATCAATGGATAAATATGTTTATTCCAAACATTCTATCTTAGTCGTCATGTTTCAACAACAATAATGTCTTTTAATAGCAGTTACCTCGATCTTTTTGTCAAGTTTTTCAAATCGGGAAATGTTTTTGCCGCACACTATATAATCTAGTATGCCACAAGGCTACACACATCGAGCATTTAATGTATAGGAGTCCCACTTGAGGCCTGGAATGAGCTTAAGTTCTAATAAACATTCAAAGCGCGGAGCCTTTTTGATAGAGCAACCGTTCATCGTAACTGAAGAAAGCTTAAGGTCTACTCTACGAAGATTTTTTATCATCTTCACCCTGTTATCTGCGAATATCTGAAACCTGTTCCCTGTTCCCAGCAGCTAGGTTCAGTCTCCTTGCTTGAATTGCGTGATAGATCCACATCTCCAAACCTTAAAATATTTTACCCTTTATATTTTCTAGGACACTATGTGCTCCTGCTATTTTTTTACATGACTGAACACAAGTTCTTTGCATGATTCCAGTGTATCTTTCAGTCTTGTCTGTCTTCTGCTACCTTCTGTCGGTCGGGTTTAAAATAAGCCTGCATTCTCTGTAGATGAGTAAGACCTCTACCACCGGCAAAATGAAGTCCCTTCCTGTGTGTGTACTTACAAACTTAGGTATAAAGCAGACCGATGCATCTTTTTGAATCTAGTGTAAATCGAACCCGCGTCCATCATTTTGCGTCTAATGCCAACCTGACCTATAACTACCATTTCAACATTCGTGCTAATAGAACTTAGGCATATTTTTAGAGAATTTTCGCAGAATAAACAGATCTACAATCTGGAGATCTACAATCACAGTCTCAATTCCAATTTTCCCTAAGCGCTCTTTCAAGTTTCTAAGTGATGTCCCAAGCGCACCAATTATTACAAGAATTACTCCAACATTCATGTTCCAAAATTTCTTCAACTCTTCAGATCTTGGGACATTATAATTCAAAAATACGCTTTTAAGCAGGCGCCCGAGGGGTTGTCAGTGATGTTATTTGACTTGGTTCATCAGGGAGTTTCGGGTCTTTCAACATCATACTCCCCATCACCAAATTGACCCAATCTGGGGAGATCAATCCTTGATTCCCCCTCACTATCTAATGCTAACAGCTACTCTGGCCTTTTAATGAATTAGACAAAGAAAAACCACGTATTCCGCACATCCGATTGGATGTTTGTGACAAACAATCCGCTGCGCGAACTATCTTTTAAATCGCCCGCTTTGGGGACTGGCTTCTTTTCTTTTTTCGGTGGATAACAGTTTCAATGGATAACTGAGGAGATAATCTTGACGTTGATTAATTATTTTCCTTAAGTATTGTATAGTTTAAATATTTGCCGTTTTTATTTTATTTGTGCTTTTATTATTATTATTATTATTATTATTATTATTATTATTATTATTATATTTTCGGATGTGTAAAAAAGTATTTGTAAATATATATGAGTGTGGCTGTGCACGTGCGGGTGATAGATAGATAGATAGATAGATAGATAGATAGATAGATAGATAGATAGATAGATAGATATGATCAAACTGAGATATATAGATATGATCAGACTAAGATAGATAGATATGAACAGACGAAGCTAACTAGTAAGCGAGATAGATAGATAGATAGATAGATAGATAGATAGATAGATAGATATCGTAAATTGTCGCGTACAAATCGGCTTGGCGTACAAGTCGACCTCAAAATTCTGAGTTAAGCCTATAACTACAGTATAGATCGACCCCCAGATATACGGTATGCTACCAGCATATTTGACCTTCTGGTAAATGAAGTTAAGTTACCGTATACGATAACCCGTGCCAATACTTCATAAGGTTGCACAACTTACCTGTATATTGAAACACTCACCGTAATATCTTTCTATAAGTGCTGTATAGCAAAAAAAACTACAGCACTACACAGATAGATATCGTGTATTGTATCTGTATAACTTAGCGATCATTGAAAATTCGCCCTTCTACTGATAAACACATTAAAGTCAACATCAACTCATATAAAATATTAATACCGAAGATTACACATCACACCCGGTAGTGTCTTGATAGTATTGCTACGTATTGTATGTTATTGTAAAGCAATCTGCATTGGTACTATAAACAAACAACCAGTGATGCCAGCAACCTCATGCGGCGAACAGCAAAACTGTGTTAATATACCTAGTATGTTCACCAAGCACAGGTTTTATCGGGGGGGGGGGATATATTTTTGATAGCCTCCTGGAGGTGCTCTAAGTTGTGTTCAATAATTGCTAGGATTGCAGTCTCACTTGTTTCCTACTCGTTGGTAAATGTTGGTATCTTATATTCGCCATATATGTCGACCACTTGTTTTGAAAAACTCAACATGTATGCCGCAATTTTATTAAAATAGATAGATGTGTGTAGAGTAATAGCTGAGAAGACAATCGTCGTGTACTGGAGCAATCTCCCTATTCACCCGATCTTACTTTTTACTCCGTGTGACTTTTTTTTAATTTTCCCAAGCTGAAAGAGATCATCAAGAGGACCCGTTTTGAAAGCTCCTGTGTACTATTGGCATTACGCCTTCCTTGCGGTAAAATGATAAAAGCATTATTTTTCTTTTATACTTAATTAGTTATAGCCAACGATGACTGTTATCATTGGCTATAACTAATTGAAATTGGTTAAATAGCTAGGTAAACTTGGGCCTACAAATCTAAGTGAAAGAAAAATTTAAATTCCAACACGTGGAGAATGGTAATGTTAATATTCACCATTTCCTTGGAAGTAATAAATTCTGCGTTCATTGATTGTTAAGGTAATCTACCGACGCACGCTTAGACTCTTACAGCTATAAAAATAGGAGCAGGTACTGCCTTTTGGAGAGGGAAGTTTCCAACAGTCAGCTCTGATAGTCGGACTGAACATTCTTGTTGTAGCACTCTCGTTTGTATATGTTTGTATTACTGTTTCTGTTAATATATTTGTTTAACTCATTCCCTCTCTTTGTGTCTTTATTTCTGGCCCTAACAAGGCCACAACACATATCCTGATCCTAGGCACAAGACCAGTTTCCTTGAGAATAACTAGTGGCTTGCTTAATGGCAATGCTATTGCAGAATGGTTCTACTCTATAACAGAAGAAAAAACAGACACCTCACTCCTAGCATCACAAGACATGGAGAATGACTCATCTGACATGTCGATGATAAAAGCGACAATCATAGTGACTTTAATTTCAGTTTTACGATCTATCTATCTATCTATCTATCTATCTATCTATCTATGTCATTCTATTCTTATTTCTATATCTATGTTATGTTAATTTACCCACGCACGCAATGACTCTCCCAGCTATAAATAGGAGCAGGTACTGCCTTTTGGAGAGGTAAGTTTCCAAAAGTCAGCTCTGGCAGTCGGACCGAACATTCTTGCTGTAACACTCTCGTTTGTATATGTTTGTATTACTGTTTCTGTTAATATATTTGTTTAACTCAATTCCACTCTTTGTGTCTTTAATTCTGCTCCTAAAACGCCACAACATTAACCGAGAAGCCAGTGCTACGTTCGGTTGAATTTTACAAACTCTTTCCCTTAAAACAATTATTCTGAAAAAATACTTTTCTCATGTCCAGTACTGACATGACAGATGATATCCCATTTAATTAGTGGGATGAAGCCTCCATCTTTGAGTTTCGAATAATATTTGGATAGAGTAGTTTGGTATCTTAAAGAAGCGTTGCAGAACGAATGTCAGTTTTTCCCTATATATATATATATATATATATATATATATATATATATATATATATATATTGTCATCCACAGACAGACTGTTTCGCTGTATCACAGCTCATCAGTGTGGCTAGACATCCAGTTGCCTCGAGCTACAGAGGAACCTCGGTTCTCGAACATCTCGCATGTCGAACAAATCGGTTTTCGAACAAAATATTCGAGATGAAAATGCCTCGGTTATCAAACAAAATTTCGGTTCTCGAAGAATATTGCCGAACTGACCCGATCCGTGTTAACCCGAATGGAATCATTTCTTAGTCGACCGCCATGTTGTATACATTCGTGTGTTGTGCTGTGTTTTTCTTTTCCAATTTTATTGTACTGTGCCTTTTTTTCTCTTCATTAGTCCACTGTCATGGCTCCAAATAAAGCTAGCAACGATACTGGTAAAGGAAAAAGAAAAGTTAAGAGAAAAACAATTGTTGATGATATTGTCTCTTCCTACTCAGTTTCATATGGCAAAATCAACGATCTATGCTATTCTTATAAATAAAGAGACGATTATGTTTTTCCTTCCCTTTTCCAAACAATAACATCGCTTTCTTTCCCCTTCCACTTACGCCATCAACTCTCCTAAATGCAAGTACGGTAAAATTAAAGTGTTTGTCTACGTTTTAACTGTTTAGTATTGGGTTTATTTATTTTTTTCTCAGATTTAATGTTTTTCATTAGTTCTGTGTATAAACTTGTGCAAAGTACTGTTGTAAAAGTTTAAATAAGCAATCATCTTGGGACCAGGAACGGATTAATCCATTTTACTTTGATTCCTGTTGGAAAAATAGTTCCCGTTTACGAACATTTCGGGTTACGAACAGTCTTCAGAAACGAAGGAAATTCGTGAACCGAGGTTCCATCATATATATATATATATATATATATATATATATATATATATATATATATATATATAAATTAAAAAGAAAGAACAGTAAGATATATAATCCGGTGTTCTTATAGGTATTTTTATTTTTACAAAATAGTGCTCAATGTAAATTTACAGAGCATTAATATTATAAATTAATTGATTTAAAATAGGTTTTTTTTTCGCTACACAGTTCTAGCCATGTTTCAAAAACGGAAGCTAAATTCGAATTTAATTTTGTAATTAAATTAAAGACATTAGTTCCATTTCATCTTCATCATATTTTGAAGTAACTTATTTTTAAAATTACTGGGTTTTAAAGGCACGGCAAAAATCATAATTCACGTTTCCAAGGATACAGAGAAATCTATTCATCCAGACCAGGGGTATTTGCGTGTTCATTATCGCTGTATTTTGATGTATCAGTTATTAGTTACGTTTTGGTAGGGGTAGGGATGTATTTTTCAATGAATTCTGACATCCGTTGAATGCATGTCGTCTGGATTTTTTTTTTAAATTTATTGTTAACGGCAAAAATTCTTACGGCATTTTTTTCTATTTGTATATTTAAAGATTTGGGGGGTGGTCTTTAGGTTAGAATACGTTTTATTTAACTACGATTTAAAAAAAATTTCCTTTTAATTTTTAATATACTATATTTCTTTTTAAAACAAATAAATGTATTAGAATACCTTACTGTACGTAAAATTATTTTCACATCAAGTATAAGTATGTATATTACTAGGTCACAATTTTTTATTTTTTTTATATTTAAATATTATTTAAGTAAAATTTTTGACAATGACGGCAAAAATAGCTAATTAATTTCTCTGATTTAGTAAACTTTTATTTTTTATATATTTTATATAAATCCAGTAATATATAGTTTCTCATGTAAGTACAAAGGACATGGGTCATTCAATGGCTTACATCTTCTAGCTTTTCATATTAATTTTATTTTACTGTAATATATATATATATATATATATATATATATATATATATATATATATATATATATATATCGTTGTTGATTATATTTGATTCATTTTTTCATTTTGATTTGTATGAGTAAAATGTCAAGCGGTGTCAAAGACTTTTTCTCAGATTCTTGTCCTATCATAGATCTCTATTTTTTAAATTTCCTCATTTCTTCTCTTTTTTTTTTCCTTTTCACCCTTTTCTTTACCATTTCTGTATCTGTTAGCACTAAAAGTCTTGTGCTTGTAATTACCCTGACGTCAATCACACCCCAAACAGAATCCCCAGAGTACTGAGTGAAATTTCCTGAATACGCACTTCACACGTCAGCTAGAGAGTTGCTGACATCTTCAATAAACACACACGCAAACACACGGCACAAAATATAGATTTATTTCTAACAGCCCATCAATATGCATTTTTTTTTCGTAATAATATCATACAGAGTTTCGTGTGCGTGTGTTTATATGGGTAGAGATAATTTCCAGGCTGATATAAATAGATAAAAACAGACTTAGATGTGCGGTATAATCAGGGATACAACGTATATAAATAGAAAAGTGGACATTGAAGTCAACGCCTGAAGGCGACAGTCTGTTTCATGCTTAAACGACATCGCCAGGTGTAAAAGAACTAGTAAGCCCGAGAGCGACCGAAAGAAAAAAAAAACACCCATTTTGAAAATCGTGCAGCGTGAAACAGGATTATATACATGGCTGTTAATGGGTAAATAAGATAATAAAATCATATATATATATATATATATATATATATATATATATATGCATGCTTGTGTGTGAATAATGAAAGCAGATGAGAAAGTATGATCGTAACTGCGTAATTTAACGTTGCCTTGATAGATAGATAGATAGATAGATAGATAGATAGATAGATAGATAGATAGAAGTTCAAATGACATTGTTCTGATGTGACATTTCGTAGCCCCCCTCTCTAGAGTAAGATAAATCTATTGAATTCATTAAGAGGTATATATATATATATGCATACCTGTGTGTGAATAATGAAAGCAGATGAGAAAGTACGATTGTAACTGCGTAATTTAACGTTGCCTTGATAGATAGATAGATAGATAGATAGATAGATAGATAGATAGATAGAAGTTTAAATGACATTGTTCTGATGTGACATTTCGTAACCCCCCACCACCACTCTAGAGTAAGATAAATCTATTGAATTCATTAAGAGGTATATATATATATGCATACCTGTGTGTGAATAATGAAAGCAGATGAGAAAGTACGATTGTAACTGCGTAATTTAACGTTGCCTTGATAGATAGATAGATAGATAGATAGATAGATAGAAGTTTAAATGACATTGTTCTGATGTGACATTTCGTAACCCCCCACCACCACTCTAGAGTAAGATAAATCTATTGAATTCATTAAGAGGTATCACATAATAATACATATGAAGATAAGTTTTGAACTTCTTTTCATCTATCAACTATTGAAGCTATATTTTATTATATTGAGTACTTTATTTGCAATTATTTGCTCGCCTTGAATTCGTCAACCTCCAGTCATTTACTAATCGACGCGTTCTGTTGGCGTTAACTTGTTATTGCTTAATAAAGACGAAGTTTTACCGTCTAAATTATTGTGTTATTATTAAGAGTAAAGGATTTTTTTAAAAGTAAAAATTGCTGTTTTTAATCATTTTTAAAATCTTATAGATTTTGTTTAAAAATGTTGTTTCTCTGGTGTCAACAGGGAACCATGAATTATGTAAAGTTTCATTGTTTTTTTTATTCTTGTTTTTTTAGCGGTAAAAAACATTTATTTGGTAATTTAAAATTTCTTGGTAATTTCCTCAACAAACGCCTTCGTAAGACTATAATGCCAAAGTAACTAAAATTCAATAGAATATTAGAACGCTTAAAATATTTTACATTAAAAAAAATTACTTGGTCCTTAAAAAATTATGTAAAAGCGGGCTTTACAGAGTATTACTCGTGTAATTTTACTAGTTATTTTCCCCTTACATAAATTTCGCAAAACATCACGTTATCAATAAAGGAATTCGGTTTGAAATACAGCAAAGTATTTTGCTTGGTAGAAATATTTGGTAATTTTTGCAAAAACAAGATAACTGCCCGATTTTGATGAAAACCTCCAGGACAAATGAATGAAATTGCTTTTAAAATGTTTCTTTTTAGAAAATTTTGATAAAAAATATATTTTTTACATTTGTTACCCTATATTAATTTAAATTTTATGAAATTTCGAGAAATTCTTTTTTGCGGTGTTTATTTTATTTGTAAATCCTAGTAGAATTTGTATCATCAAAATAAAATCTACTCTGAATCGTAAAAAAAAAAAATGAAATAAAACTAAGTTATTATTTAATTAGAATTTTTTTAAAATTTTAATTAAATAATTTATAAAGTTTTAAATATTTTAAAATTCCGTATTAATTTGCAGTGGTCAGACGATATTGTTATTAAATAAAAACTGTTTATTAATAATAAATAGGAAAGCTCACTACAATTCAGTGATCCCCAGTATTTTAGAAAGAGTTTTGAAGTTTTTCGCGTGTGTAAAAACTTGCCCATTTTGGTCAGTAGGAACGTCCATACACGACATTATCAGAAAATAAGACTAATAACTACAGTAAATTTAAAATTTCTGGGTAATTTCCTCAACAAACGCCTTCGTAAGACTATAATGCCAAAGTAACTAAAATTCAATAGAATATTAGAACGCTTAAAATATTTTACATTAAAAAATTACTTGGTCGTTAAAAAATGATGTAAAAGCGGGCTTTACAGAGTATTACTCGTGTAATTTTACTACAGTTATTTTCCCCTTACATAAATTTCGCAAAACATCATGTTATCACTTGAGAAGTAAGGAAGGAAGGGAGGTTGAGAAGGAAGGAAGGAAGGAAGGAAGGAAGGAAGGAAGGAAGGTTGATAAGGAAGGAAGGAAGATTGAGAAGGAAGAAAGGTTCAGAAGGAAGGAAGGTTCAGAAGGAAGGAAGAAAGGTTCAGAAGGAAGGAAGATTGAGAAGGAAGGAAGGAAGGTTGAGAAGAAAGTGAGCTTGAGAAGGAAGGATGTAAGAAAGGTTGAGATGGAAGGTTGAAAAGGAAGGAAGGAAGGTTGATAAGGAAGGAAGGAAGGTTGAGAAGGAAGGAAGCTTGAGAAGGAAGGAAGGAAGGAAGGAAGGACGGAAGGAAACCAAACGAAGGAATGAAGGAAGGAAAGATGGGTACAGAGGAAGGAAGGAAGGAAGGAAGGAAGGAAGGAAGGAAGGAAGGAGGAAAGGTTGATAAGGAAGGAAGGAAGGAAGGAAGCTTGAGAAGGAAGGAAGCTTGAGAAGGAAGGAAGGAAAGAAGGAAGTAAGGAAAGGAGGAAGGAAGCTTGATAAAAAGGAAGGAAGGTTGAGAAGGAAGGAAGGAAGGAAGGAAGGAAGGAAGGAAGGAAGGAAGGTTGAGAAGGAAGGAAGGAAGGAAGGAAGGAAGGAAAACAAACGAAGGAATGAAGGAAGGAAAGATGGGTACAAAGGAAGGAAGGAAGGTTGAGAAGGAAGGAATGAAGGTTGAGAAGAAAGGTTGAGAAGGAAGGAAGCGTAAGGAGGTAGGAAGGAAGGTTGAGAAGGAAGGAAGCTTAAGCAGGAAGGGAGGAAGGAAGGTTGATAAGGAAGGAAGCTTAAGCAGGAAGGGAGGAAGGAAGGTTGATAAGGAAGGAAGGAAACCAAACGATGGAATGATGGAAGGAAAGATGGGCACAGAGGAATGAAGGAAGGTTGAGAAGGAAGGAAGGAAGGAAGGAAGGAAGGAAGGAAGGAAGGTTGAGAAAGAAGGTTGAGAAGGAAGGAAGGAAGGTTGAAAAGGAAGGAAGGAAGGTTGAGAAGAAAGGAAGATTGAGAAGGAAGGAAGGAAGGAAGGAAGGAAGGAAGGAAGGAAGGAAGGAAGGAAGGTTGAGAAAGAAGGTTGAGAAGGAAGGAAGGTTGAGAAGGGAGGAAGGAAGGTTGAAAAGGAAGGAAGGATGGAAGGTTGAGAAGGAAGGAAGGAAGGAAGGAAGGTTGAGAAAGAAGGTTGAGAAGGAAGGAAGGAAGGAAGGAAGGAAGGAAGGAAGGTTGAGAAAGGAGGAAGGAAGATTGAAAAGGAGGAAGGTTGAGAAGGAAGGAAGGAAGGAAAGTTGAGAAGGAAGGAAGCTTGAGAAGGAAGGAAGGAAGGAAGGAAGGAAGGAAGGAAGGAAGGAAGGAAGGAAGGAAGGAAGGAAGGAAGGAAGTGTCGTGGAAAGCTGCGAGGATAGAGTGGTAAAAAAAGTAGGCTGAACAACAAAAAGAAAGAAAGAAAAAAAGAATTTTTTGCGGGAGAAGGAAGGCGAAAGGAAAATGTATAAAATTGTAAAATTAAAGAAAAAGTAGTAAAAGAAAGAAAATAGAGAAAAAGCAATGAAAGCAGCGTAGAGAAGAAAGGTTAAAACAATTGCCAGATAGATAGATAGATAGATAAAGAGAGAGAGAGAGAGAGAAAGAGAGAGAGATGTGACATAGATAGATAGATAGATAGATAGATAGATAGATAGAAAGTTATGCTTATTTTAATTGATAATTAGTCAGTATATAGAAAAAGTCTCCATTGGTTTCAAACGTAAATTGTCGACGCATGTCGTGCTTATTTTGAAGTGAGCCAATTTCTTTTTTACATACTTACTTTTACGAGTGTCAAACTGTCACAGATTCAGTGTTTACGATTCGTTTGACGTGTAGACAGGACGCGTTTTCCCTATTATGCGTCTAAGAGAATGTGTAAATTTAAACGTCAAGACCGAGAATTCTCTTTGTCTGATAATGTGCGTAATAATGAGCCTAAAAAATATCACTTGCTAAAGATAATGGCAATGTATGAACTGGTGGGCTCCCTCTCTCTTTGTTTCTTTATCTTTCTTTCTTTCTTTCTTTCTTTCTTTCTCACTGAATCCAAAATGGCGTCTCTAATGTGCCTTTTCCGTCTTTCCTCGCGATCAAAGCGGAACAATCTATTATGGCATGGTGGAATAATGGGTAGCGGCTCTGACTGAGGAATTGGAGAGTTCGAATTCCAGTCGAATCCATTACATTCACTTACGTGCTAATACCCTTGGTAAAGATATAAATCCTTTTCTTCTCCCCGCACCCCCAGCTATGGGTTAATAGCAGGACAGACGGTGTTCTATAGCCTTGCATGGCAACTAGTCTACCGCAGAAAGAAATAACAACCTACTGCGGGAAAAAAAAAATCTGCCTCGTCAGTCATATATCGAAAGATGCAATGTATGAACTGGTTTGCTTCCCCTCTCTTTGTTTCTTTTTCTTTGTTTATTTCTTTCTTTCTTCTCACTGAATCCAAACGGCGTCTCTTATGTGCATTTTCCGTTTTTCCTCGCGGTCAAAACCGAATAGTCTATTATGGCACGGTGGAGTCATGGATAGCGGCTCGTATTGAGAAATTGGAGAGTCGAGTTCGAATTCCAGTCGAATTCATTACATTCGTTACGTGCTAATACCCTTGGGAAAGGTATGAATCCTTTTCTTCTTCTCCCCCCAGTTATGGGTAAATAGCAGGACAGACCGGCAACTGGTCTACCGTAAAAAGAAATTGCAACCTCCTGCGGGAAAAAATCTGCCTCGTCAGTCATATATCGAAAGATACATGATCGCCTAAGCGTGTATCTCGCATGGCACATAACTGACTGACTATTATGAGGTATTGACAGTGGGTAACGTATGTGCTAGGGAACAAGTGAAATAATAATAATAATAATAACAATTGATCATCTTGTATCAGGTTGCACGGTATTGGCACCCACTGAATATAAAACCCGGCATGAAAGAGTGGGCCAATATCTGCACTGGAAAATCTGCAACTTCTACGGGAAGGAAACCGAAAGAAAGTGGTATGAACACTGAAATAGAACATGTAACAATTTTGTGGGACTACACAATACACACAGACAGAACAAAGCTAACCGCCCAGACATTGTTATTAGAGATCGCAAAAAAAAAGTGCCTCCTTATTGATATGGCAGTCCCAGCGGACTGCAATGTATTTTTGAAGATCTTCAAAAAGCTATCAAAATACAAGGACCTTGAAATCGAAATCTCAGAAAAATGTGGCACATGGGAACATCAACAATCTATGTTGTAGTTAGAGCCCTCGGATTTGTTGGAAAAGATTCCAGTAGACTAATTGAAGGGATTCCTGGAAGCCCATGCTTTAAAGAAATACAAAAAATTGTTCGCACGAGTACAGCCCACACCTTACGAAGGGCTTTATGTAATTTTTTTTGTGTGTGGAAAATGTCATGATGCCATTTCTAACCTTAGGTCTCTAGGTGAGACCCGGAATGAAATGTGTACACACCAGAAATCAAAGGAAATAATAATAATAGTAATAACTTTTACGGAAATTAAACTGCAAGAAATTGGTATGAAATGAACATGGCATGAACACCACCCAAATCCGGTTACAACGATAGGAACTGTAACAATTTTATGAGACTTTAAAATACACACAAACAGAACAATCAAAGCTAATCGCCCATACTTCGTGATCAGAAACCACAAAAACAGCATATGCCCTCTTATTGACATGGCAGTCCCTGTGGACTGTAATATATCTTTGAAGATGTTCGAAAAGACTGTCACAGTATAAAGACCTTGACATCGAAATCTCAAAAATATGGCAAGTAAGGACATCAACAATTCCAGTTGTAGCTAGAACCCTTGGTTTGAATGAAAAAGATTCCAATAGACTCACTAAAGAGATCCTTATTAACCCAAACTTTAAAGAAATATAAAAAGTTCTGCTCACAAGTAAAACTCAAACCCTATCTATGTAAGATGTGTGGGATCTTCAAAAATGCATGGTTGTTAGCAAAATGATGAGCCAAAACTGTAAACTGCAAAATATCAAAATCAAGATATATCACGATAGCAATATCTAACAAGTAAAAAATGTAAATATTAATAAGCTAATGGATACTTGTCGAAAGAAGTATAGTTATCAGCAAAAGTCTGAGCCCAAATTCCAAATTCCAAATCGGGGATACTAAAATCAAACAAGTACAGAAATTTAAATATCTGGGAAGTGTTCTAACAGAGGGCGGAAAATGAGACACAGATCTGAAGACGTATTGGGATACCCAAAGATGTATTCCAAAAGGTAAGCAGAGTATTAAGAGACAAAAAAACTTTGTTAGAAACAAAGAAAAGAGAACTGAACTGTTATGTGATATCTATCCTTCTCTATTTCATGACTGCTGGACAATCTCAAGGATGATGAAGAGACTTGAAGCAACAGAAATGTGGTTCGAAATCTCAAAAATGTGGCACATAAGGACATCAACAATTCCACTTGTAACTGGATCCCCGTTGGTTTGAATGGGAAAGATTCCAATAGACTCATTGAAGGGATTCCTTATTAAACCAAGCTTTAAAGAAATATAAAAATTTGTAAAACTCAAACCCTACGAAAGGGTTTATCCTTGTAAGATGTGTGTGATCTTCAAAAAATGCTCAGTGGATACTGTTATAATGGGCTTTGTTTCACTTCTCTTTTAATTAGTATAATAGAGAGATATGTATCATAACAAAGTGAGACATTTATACTATTGTGGCCTGTTTTGGGGCCAAAAAAGAAAGACACAGAAGACGAAGGTAGGTTGAACAAGTGTATTGAAATAACAGATATATACAAAGCAAGAGTATTAGTAATAAGCAGATAGAGGTGTCCGTCCAAACGATCAGGTTACACTGCGTCTCGGCTGCCCAACGACTGCTCAACGACTCTATATTTAACATTCCCCCCCCCCACGAGAAATGTATGTGGCACAAAGCCGAGTTTAACGTGGGTTTCTCCGAGCCCGTAGGCTCGGCCAAAAATATTCCCTTAGAACCCACATAAGCGGGTTCGGGATCTGTCTACCTCCCCGAACGAAGCCTCGTCCGGAGTCCTCTCTGCCAAAGCAGAAACTTCGACAGAAGTGGCACACAGTCAGAGACTGCTCTACGACTCTATATTTAACAGTCACCCCACGAGGAATGTATGTGGCACACGGCCGAGTTTAACATGGGTTTCTCCGAGACCGTAGGCTCGGCCAAAAATATCCCTTAGAACCCGCATTAACAGGTTCAGGGACTGTCTACCTCCCCGGACGAAACTTTGCCCTTCGGCAAAGCCTCGTCCGGGGTCCTCTCTGCCAAAGCAGAAAGTTCGACAGAAGTCGCACACAGTCAGAGATTGCTCTACGACTCCTTCCTAGGAAGTCTCGCGGTTAGTATTTATGAGAGGAGGAAGACTTCATTCTTCAGTAGGAGGGTTCTATATATATATATATATATATATATATATACATAGATAGAGCGAAAGATTTGATTTTTCCGTAGATATGAAAGTTCCTGTAATTTGGTTGTTAAATGTTTCTTTAATTTATTCAGGTATATAAGATATTGTGTTTATTAAATATCTGTTTATATAGCCTGTATCATTCTGAATACCATTTAGAATTTTAAAAAAAACTCTAAGATTCCAAGATTAAAACCTGCCGTCGCCATAAGCAAAGGTGTCTGCGACATTGTTTACTAAATTCAAACGACACGATGTTGATAGCAGGCACAGAAAGGAAACTACAAAATCTCCAACAGAATGTAGTGAAGGAAAGCGAGAAGAAAGGATTAAACATCAATTGCAAGAAGATAGAATGCATGGCTGTTAGCAAAGGGTGAGCCCAAAATGCAAACTGCAAAATATCAAAATCAAGATAAATCAAGATATCAAAACCAAACAAGTAAAAAATCTAAATATCTGGAATGGGATTTAACATGGGACGAAAGTGCGACAGTGAAATCTGAAGCCGCATTGGGATGACCAAAGACATTCCAAAAGCTAAGCAGAGTATTAAGAGATAGAAAAATTTCGTTAGAAACAAAGAAAAGTGTACTGGACTGTTACGTGATATCAGTCCTCCTATATGGCAGTGAATCACTTGCATCAGTCACTTCCCTACCTCCATAACAGTTTTTCTATGCCTTTTCTATAAATACGTTTGTGCCAATTGTTCTGATGAGCGTTTATCTTTGACACCTCGAATTCATTAATTTAATAGGAGAATAAAGATTGACAGCAAGGCGTCATCATTTTATTATTGAAAATACTATATATAACCGCAAGTTCTATCTTAATAGTTTCTTCTCTCTTTCTTCTGGCCTCTTGCTTTCTTGGAAACTATGGTCTTCGAAAATTTAAACGCGACGTCAATGCCCATCTGATGTCTTTTTAATCCTATTCTTTTATTGTCCTTTTTACTCAGTAACGTTTTCTCAATTTGCTTCACTTGCAGTAACTCCTAGCGCCTTAGGGGTTTTACATCCTTGTTTGTGGTGAAATGATTCAGAAAAAAAATTAATTATTTCTTTATAAATAGTGAGTTTATGCCTTTTCTCATAGAAACAAGTACAAATGAAACGTTTCCGCTACAAAATTGGACCAACGCACATGCGCAAGTTTGGCCAGAGGGAACTCAATACTGGAAATATCTCGAAGCAATTTCTCCCAATTGCCTGTGATGTATTGACAACCGGAAACAGGATTATGTTGAAGATCACGTGAGATTGAACCGATACCCACAATCCCTTCTCCACGGGAAACGATAGACAAACTCTGTGTTCTTTCCTTTTTGAAAGCCAATATTCAACTCGACGATAACATTCTCGACAATGAATAGGCAAATCAGCAGGAGTTAAGCCATCTTGTTTCCTGCCTTTTGTCCTAATATCTTTTGTATATTTTCATTCTCTCTCTCTCTCTCTCTCTCTCTCTCTCTCTCACTCACCCTCTCTCATTTACTCACTCTCACACACTCTTTCTTTCTCTCTCTCCCTCTCTTTCACCCACTCTCTCTCACTTTCTTATTCTCCCTCTCTCTCTCTCTCCCTCTTTCTCTCTCTATTTCTCTCTCTCCGTCTATCACTCTCTCCCTCAGTCTCTCACACATTCTCTTACTCACACACGGTCTCTATCACTCACTCTCTCCCTCTTTTTTTCTCTCTCTCTCTCACTCACAGTTTATCCCCCTCTTTCTTGCTCCCTCCTTATCACTCACTCTCTCACACGCTCTCTCTCTTTCACTCACTTTCTCTTTCACTCTCTTTCTCTCTCTCTCTCACACTCACAATTTATCTCCCTCTTTCTGGCTACCTCCCTATTACTCACACTATCTCACTCTCTCTCTCTCTCTCTCACACTCACAATTTATCTCCCTCTTTCTGGCTACCTCCCTATTACTCACACTATCTCACTCACTCTCTCTCTCTCTCTCTCTCTCTCTCTCTCTCTCTCTCTCAAAGAAAACATTAAAACACTATGCTCATTTCGATAATTAAGACGATCTGAATCCCTGGACGAGATAATGTTCATTAATGTCATGTATCGCTATTATTATACCTCGAGCATGTACCCTCAGGAAGTATTCAGGTACCACCGCGCCGTTCACATGATCGAACTGACACCATAATCAACTAATAAAAGATATCCTCTATCAATCAAATGAATTTGAATAGTCATCCTGGGTATGACAATAAACTACATCCGACAGCAAGGACTCTGATCGGAAGTTTTTGAGGAGCGTGGAAATACCTCATAATTGCTGTCGTTCCCAGGCCCACCCTTACCTGGGGTGGTAATACCTGTTAGGGCCCCAGCGAAGTGCAACTAGAGAACCCCCAAACTTGGATTAAAACACTATGAAAGCATAAAAATACATTTTTATAATAAAAATACAAACAATACATTTTTGTAAAAAACATATTACCAGCATTAGATTTTTTAAAAAAAAAAAAAAAAGAAAATTCAATTTCAGCATTACATGACCCATAAAGAGTTGATATGCCGCTAAACCAACAAATCTGAATAGATTCAAAAGCGTATCCACCATAATTAGAATACTGACGTTTCAGGACAGCTGCCTTATCAATTAGACTAAGAAAACCAACTTTTTTTATTTACAATGATGTACACTTTGTCCAAAGCCCAAGAGCCACTCGAAGTAATGGTTACAAAGTAAGAGACACCACCCCAAGCGAGAGGATAATGCCACCAAAACACATGGGGACATCAGAAGTGAAAGAAAAGGAAAAGTCTGTAGAGGGAATCGAAAAGCCAATCCTAAACATGAAACAAAGATAAATTCTACTCCTGTTAAAAAAAAACAGGGAGGAGTGTGAACTGGACGATAGGCAAAACTATTTCCTCCTATTGAGCCACTGTCTGATTTATTGCCAGAGTAAGCAGACTGAAGTAATTTCCTGTGATGCATCACGTCATCGCTTCTGCATTACTATCAATCCCTTTCGATGCCATCTGAAATTTCTAACGACAAATGCCAAAACATTAATGTTGATTTTTTCTTTGTTAAAATATGTGCATGACAGAAACCCATGTATTATTCTTCTAAGTACCGTCTCACCCCAGGACATAAACGATCATGGCTCTCCACAATTTCCTGTCCTTTGTATCTCTTAATAATTTTTTTTCTTTTTGTTATCTCTCCTAAACATTGTCCCGCCATGCATTTGCTCACTAAATATGTTATGCGTTGTTTTCCTCTGTCACTTTTGCTTTCAATCTGTCCTATGAGTATCAGATTTTCCAAGCCTGCTTTTCTCATTATGTGCCCTTGAAATTTCACCTGCCTTTCATGATGTTAAATATAAGTTTCATTTTTTTTTTGTTTCGGTTTTCTCCAAAACTGTTCGGCGTCCTCGGCATCTTCCCGTAGAACTATATTTCTGCAGTCTCAAGTCTCCTCTTCATTTGTGAGGAGATTGTTCAGCATTCTCGCATTGCTTACGAAAAAAAAAACATTTCAAATTATTTTAAGTCAAGATCTGAACCAAAGTTCCCCTCCTTTCAAAATATTTTGTTAGCGTTTTGCTTGTAGTTGGTTGTTGCCAATACATGCCGTTTATATGTAATTCACAGTCGCTCATTTAATCTCTCTATAATAGGCATAGTGTTGATCTACGTTCCACAACTGGTACTGAGTATCCATAATAGGGCGAGAGAAACAGCAACTGTTTAGTTAACGGTTCCTATTTCCCTGTTTACTAACGCCGCCATTACTTCCTCTATATTCACTGAGTCATGCCACTTCTATCTCCACTCAGTCGTTTCTTCTTTCTTACCTACCACTATTCTTCCTCCCTTTCTTGCAAACGCGAAGATATTGATCCGTCTTATCTGTGACCGGCACCTTGTTAACGACACCCTGCGTGTAAATCCCCTCTCTCTTCCCTGTTTGAGAACCCCATTCTTTGGTACGCCTCTTTTCATGTTCCCTGCCATTATCAACCTTTTAACGGATTTTTTTTTTTTAATAAAGAAAAAGAAAGAAAAAAAATAACGCTCTAAAAAACAATGCACGGATTTGTTAAGGGCACTGCAGAACAAGAGAAGACCCTAATTTTACAAAATACAGCAAGAAGTTTCTTTCGTTACATCTGAATATTTCTTGTTTTTTTTTCCTTCTGTACATTATTTATTTACTCAAGACTGACTTCAGGCGCCTACCATGGACAGATGATTAGCCATATCGTCTCGCAGACCAGTTGCTGGCGAAATGACATCGATCTTCTTTGTGTTCTCCCATGAAGTTGGTTTTTTGTCAGACTAATACCAGTCGTCCTACAGTGAATGCTGGACAACCTCCTCACGGTGCTGAGGATACCATTAACCAAACATGTTAGCAACGACGAAGCTTTAGATACAATGGCAACAAAAAGAGACTCGTTCTTAAAAAAAAACGTTTTAAACGAGAACGGAAAGTGATAAACTGATATCCGAAGTTGCATTGGGATAACGAAATATGCTTTCCAAAAGCTAAGCAAAGTATTAAAAAAAAACAGAAAAAATCGTTAAAAAACAAAGAAAAGAAAACTGAACTGTTGCGTTATATCAGACCTCCTATATGGTGGTTTTCTGAGCGTAGATTATAAATGTGACACAAGGCCGAAAATAATGGGCACCTAATGAATATTGAGCGTATTATTCAGTCGTTTGCTGACCATAACCTCACCTCTAATTGCTTGAAACAATCCTCCTATATGGCAGTAACTGATGGACTATCTCCTATCAGACGAATAAGAGAAGTGAAGCAAAAGAAATGTAGTTCTACAGAAGGATGTTGAGAAAACCATGAAAAAATAAGTTCTACAAACAATGGCAATAAAAAGGACACTTATATTTAACATCAGGAAGACACTGTTGAAATTCCTAGGACACATAATGGGGAAAAGGTATTTGGAAAAAAAATTCATATCACAGGCGAGACTGCAGTCATGAGGGACAGAGGAAAATAGCGCATAAGCTACCTGGCGAGCTTGACTGAATGGAAGGCAGGAAACGGTTTGGGAGAGATATCAAGAAGACAAAAATTATTAAGAGCTACAAAGGTCATGAAATTGTGACGTGCCATGGTCGCCAAGATCTGAAGAAACACGGTTCATAAAAGAAGTAAATATAGGGTGACCCCAAAAAATGGGAACTTTTTAACAATCGAATAAAACGAAGAGTGATGGAAGAAAAATATTTTATTCATAGTAATTGAAACCTTAAAATATGCCATTTAAGAAACAATGATGGATTTTTCATTTTTAAAAAATTACGTCCTGGAGATGGCATCCTCCTGTACGAATGCATTCCTCATAGACTGTTGCAACATCTCAGCTGGGATACTGTGAATTTCATCTTGAATTCTAAATGGCGAAATGTTTACTTGCTCAAGGTCACTGTCTCGCAGTGTTGCCTCTTGCACATGTCTGGTAATACGCCCTTCAAAAATTCCCGTTTTTTGGGGGGTGGGGGGTCACCCTGTATTTAGTGTACCTTCGATAGTATGATGGTTAAGAAACTCTAATTATAATGACTGAGATCCTTGTTGATCTTAAACAATAATCTATATATTCGGTTGAGTCATAACTAACTGCCGTTAGGAACCAATTGTACTGAAGAAGCTATCATCCTAATTACTAATCATACCTGACAGTTAAGAATAAACTTGGAGTACACGAATGTATCTAAGTTTTTGCATGACAATAGCAGCGTACACAGTGGGTTTAAGGACGAATGTTATTCTCCTCTGTGACATAACAAAGCCGCTGCATTTATATATATATATATATATATATATATATATATATATATATATATATATATATATATATATATATATATATAATGTACTTTTAAAAATTAAGATAATATAATAATGAATAAATAATATAACCATACTAAAAGCCATGATTATAAATAGTTTAAAACATTAGCACTAAACTAAAAGTTCCTACATCCACTTTCCCTATTTATACAGGGTGGGGCAAAAGTCGCGTACCGTAGGGGTTAATGAGGTCCTGTTAAGTGGCTACCGAAATCACCAGACATCACACTCTAGGATTTTTTTTTTCCTGTGGGGCGATTAGAAATCAGTTATTTATCAGACGCG